TTTATCTTTTTCAAAACCAATACGTTTTAGCACTTAAATAATTATTAACTCATTAATTAATAATATCATGTGGGTCACAATTATTCTTACATATAAAACCTATTGTCTAGCAATGTGGGAAATTTCAACACCACTCTCACATGCAAGTCGGATAATGAGTGGCACATGTAATTTGATTAATAACGGTGGACACGCATGCAAAAGGGTTAACACCTTGCTCTAAGACCTTGATGTGTTTTCATGAAGAGTACATTGGTCTATTGATTGACTTTATTAGATGACTATATAAAATAATCAAATCAGATACGATTAATAGATACATGCACAATCAAAGGGAGATATGGAAATTTCCTACATATATTCACGATCACGAGACATATGAGAAATATCGTACATATTCTAAATATCTCGAATGTCCCCTCAAACTCAAGATGACATAGCACCAAAGTTACTTGAATTTGGACAAAAGATCTAGACAAACACCTGGTGGTTTGCCGGCTGAAGTTGACATGGTTGCTTATATGCTTGTTGTATGTTTTCGTGGCTATTGTGCAACCTACCTGGTGGAGGCTGTAGTTGCGCTACTTAAAAAGAGAAAGATGCAAGATGCGATGTGTGCTCAGGGTGAGAAGTCAGAGGTGCACCGCATGTATATAAAAAGTAAATAAGATACATTGTGCAGCGACGTGGGACATTACAATATCATGGAATCTGAAATAGGAAATCCAATTCTTCCTTTTGTACGTATTTGATGACTGAGAATTTATTTTATGTAGAAGGTGCCTAGTTTGGAGCAGATTTCGCGATTTCTTCTACCGACGAATAGGAAAATAGCACACATGTTGGGCATGAGCTTGTTAAGCGCGTAGAGAAATAGAAAGAAGTAAAATATGAGAATTTGTTCATTCTAGAATTATGAATTCAAATTCTATAAATTGGGAAGATTTGGTTATAGAAAGCATAAGAGATTTCATAAATCAACTTCTAACTATCTTATTAAATTTTAAATAACGAATTTATTGATTAGTTAGGCATACATCACAACATTTCATCCCACAAATGTACATCAATTTCATTAAAACTTTTAATAGAAAATTCAAGATTAAAACCCTCTTTTGAATTTTCTTTTCATGCGGTAAAGATGGTTGAATTGAAAATTTCATTTTTAAGTAAGATCCCGAATGGAATTAGGTCATAAGAGAATTAGGTCTGGACGGACAGTCAAAAATAGGGTCAACAACGCGGGACACCCCTCCTCGATTTTAACACGACCTTTATCCAACTTATCATTCGGCAGTTGTTATGATCTTTTTCACTTTTTTTCCTCCTATTTCTTTTGGATTGTCCATTGGATCAATCTCTCAAGTGTTTGGGATGTCCTAATCTTTCTTTCAACAAAATAAAAATCTTCAGGGTATTCGACACTTTGTGTATCGAATTAGAGAGAGTGATGTGGTACAAATATCGGTGGAAATGCACCCAGATCAATTGAGTGTCTAGTATTGTCATCTTTCCTTCGACAATTTTCATTGTCGTCTTGACACTAGCGCATGACACAAGACAATGATGCACATCACTCGCTACTTGGAGCACCACTTCTTTCTTTGTAAAATTAAATATTTCTGCCAAATAAATAGAAGTCCGTGATTGCGAAAGTATTCTCAATCTATAATCAGTGAGTAATTTATGGACGGAGGAATGTATCCAATATGATTGGAAACATTGTGTAATGCACAATGTATTTGAATTGTAAAAAACTTCCTATATATGGTTTAATGCCAAGGCGTTGGACCAATATGGGCCTTGTGGTTCATATTGATAGCAGCTCCAAGGCTGCTACCATCCCGGAAAGCATTTTCCAAAAGGCTATTGGGATAGGGATGTCGCTAATGAATATTTCAAGAGTACTTTTCAGAAAATTAATTAAGAAAATATTATAATTTTTCTTACATTAACCATTTTTTACAGCAGTGTTTTGAAAATTTGAAGTCATCCTCATATGTATGCTTGAGCAATTGTTGATAAGGGCCTTCTTATAGTGCAAATGAAAGAACCACAAGTAATTGGAATTGGTCAATTATTTTTTAAGGATAAAATACCCTATGAGTACATGATCATTAAAACTAGCTCAGTCTAGCTTTTGTCATTCTACTGTTCAAGTCCAAACTAAAGCTAATCAGATGTCAAATAATAATAATGGAAAATTTCAAATAAAGACGTTAAGTGAATCTTGTCTCAAATAAGAGTCTAAAGTGAATCTTATCTCAAATAAAAGCCTGAAGTGGCCATATTAGTCTCAATTAAGGATTAAGCTCATATTAGCTTGCTGAGGCACACGCTTACAATTTATGTGCATTTTTTTATATATATACTAAATATTATATAACTTTCACTGTCATGCTATGGCTTTTAAAACATTGGTAGGATCCACTAGGACTATGATCTTCAATGGTTTGGAATCAGCTTAATAAGTATACAACACTCATATAATAATTTCTCATCTATTCCACATCAAAACTAACGACAAGTCCTGACATGACAGAAGAACCGGACTCAAGCACTACATCTTTTTATTGAGAGAAACCCGAAAGAAATAGATTTTTACTGGAAACCAACATGAATTGAAGACAGCTTCAGCCATTTTGAATAATAAATACTATGTAATCGTAGTCAAACATTTTCAAAATGGTGCGACATGAGACGAGGAATCCACACGGAAAGCCAAATTACAAGTCCACCCGTATATTGGAGCAAAGCAAGGCCGCTTTGCAACTTCGGCAAAACAAACACGAGCGACTTGAGAACAAACCAAACTTGAAAACTTACTTCTCGGAGGTCTTACTAGTATATGTTTAGAATGAAGATGCATTTCCTAAACAATCTTTCCTTATTTCTTTTTTAAAAAGCTTATTCTCACGGGATCTTATCAATGGATTTTACGAAACAAGAAAATGAAGAATTTTGGGGAATGTGTATAAAATGCAATATCCCATAAAAATTATATGGTTTAAGGGCGGTAACCTTTTGTTTGATCATAGACTGTAGGGTCGCTCTTTTTTCACTTCTCATTTGGCTTAGACACTTTATTTTCTTGTGTTTTGACCATACTATCCCTTGTGGAGCTCACCACTTCTAGTATAACTCTACAAAAGTGATCGATTTTTTTTTTATTATTTGATCAACTTTTTTTATTTTGCTTCTTATTTTTTCCCCGTGGGTCCCACTTTCCTTTTTTTTTTCTTTGTTTCTTTCCACGCCTTTGACGTCTCAGCTCTTGCAAAAAGGGTCTCTTTGTTTTCTTTCTTGCACGTCATTCTCTTCTTTCTACGCCTTCCACTCATTCTTCTTCTTCTTCTTCCCCAAACCTGTCATCCTCTATTTTCTATCTATGAAGTCAACCCCATCGTCCTCCACACTTTCACTAGCAAGGGCATTGGGCTCACCAGTTACCTCCCGTACGAGCCTTTTTTCTCCGCCACACGTAGGTGGCGAAATAGTAGACCACATTGTTGTGGATTTTGTACTGCAGGCCACATTTATTCTTAAAGCAAAATACACGCACTATGGAAGGAATAGTCAGGTTTACCTATGACTGTAGCCTAATTTTAGGTACAAGAGGCATCCTTTAGCCTCCACTCTAGATTTAAACCCAACATTTACAATCTTGATAAATCAAAAGAATTTGGCCTCCATTTGATGACAATGGATTACTCAATTCCCCTTGAGATCAAATAACGCGATTAAGCATATCATGCATCATTATTTCCAACAAGTCAATAATGAGAAGCAACGACATTAGCCCAAAAAAATTAATGATGAACTTATGAAAATCATAGTAAAAAAAGTAAACCTAGAGAGAGAAAAATTCTATAGGACGTGAGTATGCTATAGACTACAAATCAACTGCACAATTAATGCGCAAACACTGTTTTGATGCATATTATGCTCTAAACACAAGATTGAAACACAAGATCAAGCTTATGTTATGACCCAAAACTCAAATTCACTTTTAACAAAAGCTATCAAGAAGCACTCAATAGCGACCAAAATGAGAATGATTTGACACCAAGAAAAGTAAAAAGGAAAAAAAAAAAAGCTTTCACCAGAAAGGTACCTGATACGGATTGTTGAAATCTTTTGGGAATTACTGATGCAGGAGAGATTTGTGGCAGAAGACGAAGAAAAAGGAGTGGGAGGCATAAAAAGAAGAGAATGGCTAACGAAAGAGAAATCACAGAAACAATTTGTAAGAGCGGAGAATTGCGAGGTATGGAAAGAAAGAAGGAAGAGGAAAGTGGGACTCACAAGGCGCAAAAAAAAGAAGAAACGAAATAAAAGAGTTGACCAAATAATAAAAAAACGATCACTTTTGTGGAGTATTACCAAAAGTGGCATGTCTCACAAGGGATAGCATGGTCAAAACACAAAAAAAATAGAGTGTCTAAGCGAAAGGAGAAGTGGAAAAAGAGCCGCCCTAGTTTGTATCAACTCATTATTCAATTCCTCAATCTGTATATTGTCTCAAACAGTGAGATCGTCGCTCGGTTTATAATGCCTCTCATGGTCCTCGTGTATTCCCATTTGGTTTGTGAAGCCTTGGTGTCTCAATAAGTAGATCGCTGTCTGCCACAAAGGTCAAAGGCTTCATTATTGACAAAGGAAAGCGAGGTTGAGAAGTCTTTCATCCGAGAGATAGGTCTTCCTATTGAATTCTTTGCGTATTAATTTTAAAAACTTTCCAAATGGCATAAAAACTTAGCCAAACGGACGCAATTTATTTAAATAATTATATGGGTTCCAAGAATTATCTGTCAGGATATTGTAAATACATTTTGCCATAAAAAATGGAATCGGGAGATTCTATACGGTGATTGATATCCATACAAAAATGGACTCTAGAGATTCGTGCATCAATTTTCATATATGTAGGATTGCTGTTATGTTGGCTCTCGCGTTGCTTATATATAGGTTGGGATTCTGCGTAATTTTCCACAACCAATCCTACCATCAAAACATAAAAGAGAAGTAAGAAAAGGAGATCATCAAAATGGCTTCGGGTAGAGTTTGTTTGTTCATTGGCGTTCTTTGCCTCATCGCTCTTTGCTTCGCGGGTATTGTTTAGCTTCTGTTTCTTCTCTATCGAGTTCATTTCTCTTTTGGTTTAGACCACGCTTGAGAATGGAAAGCACGAAGGACAGATTTATCTGTTTCATCAATTTAAAGAAACAGGATGTCCATATAATTTATATTATGTATTATGTTGTTTAATGAAATTTCTTGAATTCTGGTGCATCTCAGAAACATCAGTCGCGGAAGGATCTCCTTGGACATTGGACGTAGGGCCGTGTTCAAAATACCCGGACTGCAACGGGTATTGCAAAAAAACTTATGGGCTTAGCATTACAGGGTTTTGCAAGATAAATAAAGCCGGACTCAATCGTTGTTATTGCTCGTTTACTTAGATGAAATTACATAACTTTGAGCCACGACAAAATGTTTGTTATCATGGTTTTGATTGCTATGAATAAAACTGCCGTCTTCCGTACAACTTTTCTCAATGAATGATGGGTATTTGGTGACAATTCAGCAATCTCCTCTCATGTCTACCCTCCTCTGTTTATAATTCTTATATATTTTCCTTCAGTAGATTGATGGACATTATACACTTTTTTAGTCGGATGGAGATCACATGATTTGCAAGATCAAGATGTGTACTTGAATTTACCAATATGCGATCTATAGCTGTATATAAAGAGTATACAACACACATTGTGAAGCGATGTGAGACATTACAATATCATGGAATTTGAAATAGAAAATCTAATTCTTCCTTTTGCACGTATGTCAAGGCTGAGAAATTTATTTTATGTAGAAGGTGCCTGGTTTTGACAAGATTTTGAGATTTCTTCTACCGACGATTAGGAAAATAGTACTCTTGTTGGGCATGAGAAACTTCGTCAAAAGCTTGTTAAAAGTGTAGAGAAACAGGAAGATGTAAATTAAGTGTATTTGTTCATTGTAAACTAAGAATTCAAGTTCTATAAATTGGGAAGATTTGGTTATAGATCGCATAAGAGATGTCATAAATCAACTTCTAAGTATCTTATTAAATTTTAATTATGAATTTGTTGATTAGTTAGGGATACATCACAGAATTTCATCCCACAAATGTACATCAATTCATGAAAACTTTTAACAGAAAATTCAAGTTTAAAACCCTCTTTTGAACTTTCTTTTCATTCTGTAAAGATAGTCGAATTGAAAATTTCACTTTTAAGTAAGATCCGGAATGGAATTAGGTCATAAGAGAATTTGGTCTAGACGGGCAATCAAAAATAGGGTCATCATTCGGCATTTGTTACGATCTTTTTCACTTTTGGATTAATAACACAAAAAACCCCAATTTGATATACTTATAACAAATTTACGCCAAGCTAATTTTTTGACCACAAAAAAGTTCAAACTGGTACACCCATAACAATTTTACCTTCCGTCGGTTTCCGTTAAATTTTACCTTCAATTTTTTGTGATGGATGACACGTGATCGTTTGACATAGGTGTATCGATTTGTGTTTTTTCATGATATTAATTCTTTTTAGCATAGAGTACACGTTTAGGGTTTTTGGAGGTAGAAAATTTAGTGTACACCCATAACAATTTTACCTTCCGTCGGTTTCCGTTAAATTTTACCTTCAATTTTTTGTGATGGATGACACGTGATCGTTTGACATAGGTGTATCGATTTGTGTTTTTTCATGATATTAATTCTTTTTAGCATAGGGTACATGTTTAGGGTTTTTGGAGGTAGAAAATTTAGTTTGAGGTAAATTTGTATTAAGTGTACCCGTTTGGTGTTTTCTATGGTTAAAAAATTAATTTTGGATAATTTGTCATAGAAATACCAGTTTAGGGTTTTTATGGTATTAACCCTTCACTTTTTTTCCTCCTTTTATCTTTTGGATTGTCCATTGGATCAATCTCTCAAGTGTTTGGGGATGTCCTAATCTTCCTTTCAACAAATAAATATCTTCAAGAGTATTCGACACTTTCTGAATCGAATAAGTGAGAGTGATGTGGTACAAATATTGCAGGAAACGAACCCAGATCAATTGAATGTCTATAGTATTGTCATCTTTCCTTCGACAATATTCGTTGTCGTGTTGACACTAGCGCACGACACAAGACAATGATGCACGTCACTCTGCTTGGAGCACCACACCTTTCTCTGCAAAATTAAATATTTCTGCCATATAAATAGAAGTCCGTGATTGCGAAAGTATTCTCAATCTATAATCAGTGAGTAATTTATGGACAGAGGAACATATCCAATATGATTGGAAACTTTGTGTATTGCACAATGTCTTTGAATTGTAATAAACTTCCTATACATGGTTTAATGCCTATGCATTGGACCAATTTGGGCCTTGTGGTTCAAATTGATAGCAGCTCCAAGGCTGCTACCATCCCGGAAAGCATTTTCCAAAAGGCTATTGGGATAGTAATGTCGCTAATGAATATTTCAAGAGTACTTTTCAGAAAATTAATTAAGAAAATACTATAATTTTTCTTACATTAACCATTTTTTACAACAATTTTTTGAAAATTTGAAGTCATCCTCACATGTATGCTTGAACAATTGTCGAAAAGGCTGCTTACACCTAATTTTGCCTCCTCGTTAAATCAGTGCTTAGATTGTAAGTGGGCCAAATCGATGTAAAAGAGAGACAATAAGTAAAAAAAAATTAAATAAATAAATAATTAAAATTAATTAAAAATTTAAAAAAAAGGATCAGTCAGGCCAATTTGGTCCGGCCCCCTTTTTAAATTATTTTAGCTATTTGAGCCAAATCCATTTGTTTTTTTTTTTTTCCCTTCTTTTTGGGTTTGTTCTTTTCGGCCCACTTTTGGACTATTTTTGGCTCGGCTGCCCCGGCCCAACTTGGCCTTTCTTCCAGCCTTCAGCCCACCCCTCAGCCACTCCTTCCTCTCACGCGCACGCTCAGCCGGACGGGACAAATAGGAACGACAAAAACGCTTTGCGCGAGGAGGATATCGATCGCGATTTCAGAAGGGAAGAGGCGTCGTGCAGCGTTGCAACCTGGCCACACAAGGACCATAAAGACTTGTAGCCGTTTTAGCCAAAAACGGATCTGATTCAGTCCCAAGTAGAGGACCGACTGCTTGCATATATAGAAACAGAGAAAGCACACTGATCAATGGTGCCTTTGAACTCGAAATGGAAGGCTAGGGTGGCTGGCATGGTTGAACATTGAAGGCTGTTGATGGTCGAGACAAAAACTGGGGTCAATTTTGAAAGATGGAGACGCGTCCAGAACAAAAAAAAAAGATGAAGAGAAGGAAGAACAAAAACAGAGAGTGAAACGAGGGAGTTAGAGAGGGGTTTGCGAGGAGAGCGCTCCGGTTCCTTCTTTGGAGGGTCGCTGGCAAATCTCCTCCCCCTCCTAGCAAGCCGATCACCATTGCAGAAGGTCCGTCGCCGCCGCCGCCACGTTCCGTCTTGGTGGGTCACAAACAGAGAGAGTTTCGGAGAACAGAAGAAAGAGACCGAGAGAGCTTGGCGGGAAACCCGAGAGCAAAAGGTCCCCGTCCGCCGAGAGAGGTGCCTAAGGAACCTTCGACAAGTCTCCGACCACCGCGCTTCATCCCGGTCAGCCCGGAACCAGGTGGGTTCTCTTCTCATCATCCCCTGTTTTCGGCACCACTCCCTTGCCTCTCAGGTGCCGGGCACACCGAGTCTATTCGGTGGTCGCCCGGCACCATAAAAGGGGGAAAACTACTTTTTCATCCCCAAGACGAGTTTCTAAACAGTTCTTAACAAAAAAAACAATCTCTGAATCCCACTAAAATCTACTCAGAAGCCCCTGTTTCTAGGCACATTCCATTTGCTTGTCGAAATGTTTCAGTGAAGCTCTTTGAGCTTAAGATCGAATCTGGTTTTGTGTTTGTTGGGTCGTTTTTTGGAAACTGAAACCACTTTACTGCAAAGCGTGACTATTCAAAGCTTCACCTATTAAGTCCAAGTCATAAACCATTCCGAATGTCGGCCTAAAACTCTCAATGAACCATGCCCGCCATGTGCTCGATGAAATGCCCGAGTGAAGCTTCAACTCCTTTCTTGCGAAATCGAGCTCTAAAGCTTTGTTGTTCGCGTGGTTTGCATTCATGTTCTTACAGACTCCGCGTTTGGTTGCCTTTCATGTGTTTTTGGCGGCCTGTTAACGTTGTTCGAGTCGGCCTCGTGTATGCATCCTCTCGCCGGAGACGATTGTCCGCACCGACGAAGCCTGCAATTTGAGGCCGCCCTAGTCAGTCCATTCCTCCTCGTTTTAGTGCGTGTATGCTCGTTTATTTACTGGTTTACGGTATGGGTTCGGGAGGAGAAGTCTCTAAGGTCGAGTAGGTTAGTCGGAGAGTAATTGGGGTCACCGGCGAGGAGGGGGTGTGTTTTTGCCGCCGTCGTCGGAGTGGTCCCCTAGGCGGCGGTCGGCGGTGACGGCGTAAGGCCAGCGTCGGTCGTTGGCGCTGGTGGCCCGAACCGTCGGCCGGCGGTGGGCTTTCTCGGCATGGTCTCAATGAGCTCTCGGTGAAGAACCAGAAGAAATAGAGGACGTGCGTGGGAAAAGCACGTAGGGAAAGAAGAAGAATAATAAAAAAATAGATAAAAGAAAAAAAAGGAAAATCAAAAGAAAAGAATAAAAAAATAGAAAAGGAGTGGGGAATGGGGATCCCGCGCCAGGTGTCGGGCGGATCGGGTTAGGGGTAGGGGTGAGCGGTTCTAGGTTCCGGGTAGGTTCCGCCTGGAACCTAGAACCTACCCTCGAGTACAGGTTCCTCAAATTGAGGAACTTGAAATCTACTCGTTGGAATGTGGAACCTGAAACCTACCCTGTCACAGGTTCCAGGGTTGATTCCAGCTTCCAACATGTTCTTTTTTTTTTAATTTTGTTTTGAATTAAACAAAACGAAAATAAACGCAATAGTAGATCATCTGAATGATACATACACAATGCCCTAATGTGATATTCAGGGGATATAATGCCAAGTTTGCAAATGTCTGGATAGAACTAAACTATAATTGCCCAATACCAATTGAAGGGGAAAGATAGGGTAACTACCTTACTGTCGGAAAATGCTCCAACACCAGCATCAGCATTCCCAAGTTCGTTATCTTTGGCAACTCTTAAAGAATCAGTTGGTGAGTCACGGACAGTATTTCGATCTCCCTGCAGCCTGGGCCTTCTCAATAGAAAAATTTTAAGTAAGAAATCATGAAGATGGCTGAACCACTTAACTACAGTAATAGCATGAGCTACCTGGCAAAAAGCTGTGACTAGTTCCTGTCTCAAAATACAAAATCGAGATTCAGGTTCAGTATAGTTTGCAACACGAGGAGTTACTCTCATCAAGTCAAGAAGATAGTGCCTAAATCAAAACAAAAGAAGATATTTGCATAAACACACTTGATGGCAAAAAAAGGAAAACTACAAATCCAGCAAAAACATGGACAAAAATGGTCATAAAATTCAGAAAAACATACAGGACTACAAAAATCTAGTGTGACAAAAGAAAAGTAAGCTAGCAATGTACAGCATTAACATTTATGACTAGGTAGTATAACAAATAAGCAAAAATAGTTCTTGGACCTAAAGATAAGTTATAGTAATCTTCTCAGATAGTTCACGGATGTGTCATCCTTCCATATAGGCTTGAGATGAAGGTAATGGACGTTGGATGAGCAGAGAGAGAGAAAGAGAGACCCATCCGTGCAACAGTGCTCTAATGCTTGGAGATATAGAGAAAAGGGTAAGTAAATGTATATCAGACACTTCCTTACTTACTATGCTCATATCACACTCATAACTTCCATGTATCTCTTGCCTCAATAATATGATCATATTTGACGTTTTGTTGTCTTCTACACATATAACAATTCCCAAGCCAATGCAAACCCATAGAAAGCTCCAAAGGAGTTGACTTGCTATGGGATTTCAATCTCGGCACATTACAGTAAATATTTATAGTTAGAGGTTCAGAGGCCACCAAAACACATTTATACAACTTTACGCCAAGAGCAGCATTATGGAGTCAATACAAGAGAAAGAGACGCACAGTGTTGATAGAAACCCAAAGAATTATACTGAGACAAACATACTCTTTTAGCAAAAGCCACTGAAGTAGTTGGAATTGCAGATATTAAAGACATAAACACATAGTGTCAATTATATGCAGCATCAATCAGTGATCAGATAAACCATTGTCATCAAACCTTAGGAAAGCTCACAGGCAGCAAAGAGTAAGAAAGACCACTCAAAATTATTATACCTGAACCAGCTAGAATAAAAAGACAAGAGCATCATTGTTGATTTAGATAGAGGAGAGAATGTTATACATGTGCAATCACCTTTAGCACTGGGAAATTCTTTCCATCTTTGATATAGTAGTCCCTTATCGATACCATATTTGTGCCGTTATAATCTTGACGAGTCACATACCTCCTATCTGAAAGCTACACCAACATCATATGATGATTTAAAACTTGTTGATGTGGCTTATCTAATTATAGAATGCAGAATAATCAGTCAGCCACAAGAGGAATATAATGAAAATGTCACTAGTCAGTACCAATTGTTTTCCCGGCAACGCAAGTAGAGCCTTTAGAGGTCCTAGAGCTAAGTCCCAATTGCCAATCAAGGAAAACCATGAAAAATCCAAGGAGAGACATTACCTACCAAGTGAGAATCTAAAATGTTAGATTTACAACTGCCTTTTGCACTTATCTATTACTGCCAAGTGAGAATCTACAACATTGGATTTAGTACTGCCGATTGCACTTTGTCTTCTCCTCACCAATCTTATTCAGGTGTTACTTGCAGCCACAGGGCTTCTAGAGTAAGGATTCCTCTTTCATGTTCCCTAAGTTAGCCTCAGCAAACTAGACAACTACAATTCAAATTTGCCTATAATCCCATTTTCTTCAGCTAACAAAGAGACTGCATCTGATAAAGCTTTTGCAGAACTATCATCTTCGCCTTTTTGACTATCCAGTACAAGAGATGCATGTGCGTGCGCAATCCGAACCTCAAAGAAATACATATTGGCACCTCTTCGCAAACCCAGACAGCCATGGCTTTCGAACACAATTTATGCAGTCTCGCCGTGATTTAGCAGACACAAACTAAGTGACGACCAAGAAGTTCACTTTCTCTACAATGCAATAGGGTTTCACTTTCAACCTCACAAATGACGCGTCCTCCACTTTCGCCGAGCTCCATCTTCACTTCCCTCGCCAGTGCTTCCGCGGTGACCCCGCCGGCCTCTCCTCGGACGTCAGGTTGGTCGCCCTTGGCCCCGTCCTCGCCCGCAGCGTCGGAGAGGAGGAACGACTTCAGGACGCTTCGCACCAACTTCTTGCTGTCCATGTCGCTGGCAATCTCGCGCGGCGCGTTCCAGCGAGCGAGCGAGAAGGACGGTCGGAATTGCACCTCCGAGGAGAGACGGTGGGAGCCCGCCGGAACCCTAATGGAGCGCGAGAAATGCAGAAATACTCGCAGGTGGAAGTGAAACTGAAGGGAAAGAAAGGACCAAATAATAATTGTAACCTGTTTTAGGGTTCCCGGTTCCTAAAAGGGGAACCGGGAACCGGATCCTCTCTTCATGGAATCGGGAATCGAACCAGACCCGCCAGTTCGATTTTGCGGTTCTCGGTTCTACCGGGAACCACGCTCACCCCTAGTAAGGGACCCTGTCCGGAATTATTATATTAATAAAAATATTAAAACATTAAAAAATTCAAAAAAATATATTAAAATAATAAAAAATATTAAAAATTCCAAAAAATTCGAAAATGTTTAAAAATCCAAAAAATAGTAAAAGTCTGAAAAACATTAAAAAACATTAAAAAATTCAGAAAATTTCAAAAAAAAAAATATAAAAAAACATTAAAAATCCTACAAATAAAAAAATTCAGAAAAAATTCCAAAAAAAAATCAAAAAATTGGGAAAATGCTCGGAAACCATTTTTGGGCTTAATTTCACTAGATCTTAGTGTTTAATTTCATTCTAGACTTAGTTTAAAATTTGTAAAAAATGAGAAAGACCCTTTAAAATATTTCCAAAAATTAGGATAAGCCATTAGGGCTTGACCCTAGGGCTTCTCATTGCCTTTTCTTTTCTAGAGACGATGCTAGATCGCTGGTTGTTTATTTTATTTATGATTATCTGATTGCGCACTTTTAATACATTAATTGCTATTTTCTATTTTTAGAACGGTTAGGTGGAATCTTAGCTTTTTTGATAGGTTGCCGGTATATTAGTTTGCGAACATTCAAGTTTAGGTACTGAAATGGTACTGGTTAGATCGCTAGTATAATCGAGTCCCCGAATTTTGGAATCTTTGATTTTCGCACATATCGAGACAACACTTCCGCGTCTCGATTAGAATTCCTAGCCAACCCTTGATCATAGTTAGTGGCGACTCCATTTGTATGCTTAGTTTAGACAATTCTCGTTGCATGAGGTATGAGGCTTGGGAGTACGTCGGTTCTTGAATTAATGAACTATTTGGTTTGTCTTTCAAATGAATCAATTAACGTTTATATCATTTGACAAATACCTCTTGACCAAACCCGATCGGTTCGGGGAGGTCGCGACAAAGGCCCTTCTTATATTGCAAATGAAAGAACCACAAGTAATTGCAATTGGTCAATTATTTTTTAAGGATAAAATACCCTATGAGTACATGATCATTAAAACTTGCTCAGTCTAGCTTTTGTCATTCTACTGTTCAAGTCAAAACTAAAGCTGATCAGCTATCAAATAATAATAGTCAAGCAAGTTTTGTTAAAATGCTAATGGGACATGGATTTTGTCAACCCATCCGTAATGAAAGAAAAGAATTTAAGTTTCTACTTGATCTATTCAAGTGTACTTGCTCTTTAGCTGCCTCTCACCTAGTCATGGCCAAGGGCTGATTTTGGCCTGGAACCGCCCAATCAAACCCAGGCCCGGCCCGTTGACCGGGCCCACGGCTCGGAACTGGAACCGGTCCATGGCCTACGGGCCTAGTTCCGGTTCCAACAATTTTGGAACCGGCCTGGAACCGCCTGTTCCAGTTCCAAATTATTTAAAAAAAATAATAATGAAATTTTTTAAAAAAATTCATAATTTAATTTTTTTTATAAAATAATTTGAACTCTAATTGCCATGCATTATAAGTGCATTGATCTCTAATTACACTGCTTGGCTTGGGTGTATTGAACTCTAATTACAAGGCTTAACTTGGGTTTTATACATAATGATTCTAATGCATCTTCGTTCCCATTCAATGTGGGACTCTCGGCTTGCCTTGAACACCTTCAATGTGAGACTCTTGGCTTGTCTTTATGCAAATGCCAAGAGTCCCACATTGAATGGAAATGAAAAAACCATCAAAGGGGTTGTGTATAAAACCCAAGCCAAGCCATGAGCATGTGAAGTTGTTTGCCTTTTTGTGGTTACGATCCTTTGCTCGTTAAAAATAAAGGGTTACATTGAACCGCCTAGAACCGGATTAGGCCAATGGTTTGGTTCCTGGTTCTATGATTTGCCGGTCCGGTTCCTAGTTCTAAAATTAAGGGAACGGTCTTACCGGTTCGGTTCCCGGTTCCAATCAGAACCGGACCGAACCGGGAACCAATCATCCCTACAATTTACATTTTGATTACAATTTATATTGAATAATTCATTATTTCATAATTTTATAATTCATTTTTTTTATTTCATAATTTATTTTTAAAATTTTTAAATTACGAACCGGAACCGGCCAGTTCAAAACCGGAACCGGAACCGGCTGATTCCGAACTGGAACATGAACCGGAACCGGAACCGGCCGGTTCTAAACCAGAACCACTAGCGGCGGTTCCGGTTCCGGTTCACACATGGCCACGAACCGGAACCGCCGGTTCCGAACTGTGACCATGACTACTCTCACCACTATGGGTTAAAAATCAGACTAAACCTCCTGGCTCTACCGAGTACCAGCATGTCCACTGGTTCAATTCAGATCTTGTGCCGGTTGTGATGAAAACCGATTAAGCCAGTCGAAACCATACGGGTCAGTCATGCCATTTCGTTTAAAATTGGATCCGAAGAGATTGAGTGGACTGGAGTTTCAAGCTAGAGCACGATGGAAGGTTGTTGGGCAATCATACATGTATCAGTCAGCTTGTTTCTCATTATGAGAAGATTTACGTTGTTAAAGCCATGAGACTTGAACTCGAGTCTTCTCGATGCACTTTAAAAACTCATATTAGCTTGCTGAGGCACAATCTTACAATTTATGTGCATTTTTTTATATGTAACAGTTATTGTATAACTTTAACTCTCATGGTATGGCTTTAAAACATTGGCAGGATCCACTAGGACTATCATCTTCAATGGTTTGGAATCAGCTTAATAAGTATACCACACTAATATAATAATTTCTCATCTATTCCGCAGCAAAACTCAAGGCAAGTCCTGACATGACATAAGAATAGGACTCAAACACTACATCACTTTATCAAGAGAAACCCGAAAGCAATAGATATATACTTGAGACCGACATGAATTGAATACAGCTTCAGCCATTTTGAATGATAAATACTTTTGTAATCATAGTCAAACATTTTCAACATGGTGCGACATGAGACGAGTAATCCACACGGAAAGCCAAATTGCAAGTCCACCTGTATATTGGAGCAAAAGCAAGGCTGCTTTGCAACTTAGGCATAACACACCCGAGCGAATCGAGAACAAACCAAATTTGAAAACTTACTTCTCGAAGGTCTTGATAGTATATGTTTAGAATGAAGATGCATTTTCTGGACAATCTTTCCTTATTTCTTTTGTAAAAGGCTTATTCTCACGAGATCTTATCAATGGATTTTACGAAACGAAGAAAATGAAGAATTCTGGGAATGTGTATAATATGCAATATCTCATAAAAATTATATGGTTTGAGGACTGTAACCTTATATTGGATCATAGCTTGTAGGGTCACTATTTTTCCACTTCTCATTTGACTTAGACACTCCATTTTTTTTTGTGTTTTGACCCTACTATTTCTTGTGGGGCCCATCACTTCTAGTATAAATCTACAAAAGTGATCGATTTTGTTTATTATTTGGTCAGTTTTCTTTATTTTGCTTCTTATTTTTCCCCACGGGTCCACTTTCCGTTTTCTTTCTTTCTCTCCACACTTTTGACGTTTTAGCTCTTGCAAAAAGGGTCTCTCTGTTTTCTCTCTTGTAGGTCATTTTCTTCTTTCTATGCCTCCCACATTTTCTTCTTCCCCAAACCCGTCGTCCTCTATTTTCTATCTATGATGTCAACCCCGTTGTCCTCCACACTTTCACTAGTGCGGGCATTGGGCTCACCAGTTACCTCCCCAATGAGCCATTTTTCTCCACCGAATGTAGGCAGTGAAATAGTAGACCACATTGTTGTGGATTTGGTATTGCAGGCCACATTTATTCTTAAAGAAAAAACATGCACTATAGGAGGAACGGTCAGGTTTACCTCAGGACTGTAGCCTAATTTTAGGTACAAGAGGCATCCTTTAGCTTCCACTCTAGATTTAAATCCAACATCTACAATCTTGAGAAATCAAAAGAATTTGACAACAATGGATTACTCAATTCCCCCTGAGATCAAACAACGAGATTAAGCATATCATGCATCATTATTTCCAATAAGTCAATTAATGAAAAGCAACAATATTAGCCCAAAAAAACTAATGATGAACTTATGGAAATCATAGTAAAAAAACTAAATTTGGAGGGAGCAAAAGTCTATAGGACATGAGTATGCTATAGACTACAAAGCAATTGCACAATTAATTCGCAAACACTGTTTTGATGCATGCTATGCTCTAAACAGAGGATTGAAACACAAGATCAAGCATTTCCATGACCCAAAACTCAAATTCACTTTTAACAAAAAAATCAAGAAACACTCAATAGCGACCGGAATGAGCATGATTCGAGATCAAGAAAAGTAAAAAGGAAAAAAAAAAAAAAGCTTTCGCCAGAAGGTACCTGGTGCGGATTGTTTAAATAAGCAGTTATTTTGGTGATTGCAGTTGCAGGAGATGTTGGGGAAATGTCAACGTGAATCGGAAAAAAACAATGAAGTCAGACTTTGATGCGTGATATCAATTTCTTTAAGGAATTATTTGCCCCACAACGTTGCTAATGGTTACTGGAAAAAATCCTGTAGGATGCAACAAAGTCTCAATGAGAACACCAGATAACAATTCTAGTATTTCTCCAAGGTCTCTCAAGGAAAACAATTAGAAAAGATGGCTGTATATCTCTTGGAAGAAATGAAAAATTGTTGTTCATAATGAACAAAAATGTTGAAATATTTATACATTGAACAAACACAATCTTTTGAATGTGAAGAAGTTATGTCTGAACAAACACGACTTTTCATAGGTTAAGAAGTTATGTCCAAATAGACACAATCTCCCAAAGGTTGTAAAAACGCCTAATAACCGTTAGGCAAAAAATAATAAATTT